GGGGACACGCGGCTTCTAAGGAGTTTTCTGCTCCAGATGGCAGAAAACTCTTAGTTTGGGGCGCATTTTGAATGGAAAGATTTGGAGGGACATGCCCACGCGTCTGCTGCGTGGACACGGCTCCCTGAGGTCCCATCTGCAGCCCCGGGACTTCTTGCTGCTCTTGCTCCTTAGACTTTCCAGGGGTATCGAGCCAACCTAGACCCTTTCCACCGGTCCCCACCCTCCGCGAACAGGGCTCAGGGTTCTGCCGTCGAGGCTGCCGACTCTAAAGGTCCAGCTGGAAGCGGGGCTGCAAAACGCAGGAATGTCCAGTGGCCGCGGCTGTCGGATGCTCCCCGGGGCAGCGGAGCGCCGCGTGGGCGGTCAGGGCGCCTGGAAGACCGAGGCTGAGGCCGCTGGGCAGGGTCCCCCGCCCCAAAGCTGCGTTCCTGTCCGCTGAGATAGCTCACAGGCAGCTTTTATTTTCGAAACCTCCTTTTTCTCATTTTTGAACAAGGCCTCTGCCCCCCAGCTCGCTGCGGGGCTGGAAGAATTAGCAAACTGTAAACTTTGAGCGCTGGGTGCAAGGCGAGGCTGGAAATCGGACACGAGGTCGGGGTGCCTTTGAGTTCAGAAAGGTGGAACAGGTTGGGTAAGTGTGAAATCAACCCCAAGCCGGCCCTGCGGCGGTTCCCAGCGCGTTACTGCAAGGCGGGCGCCCCCGCCTCGTCCCGCCCCGCAGGGTAGGACTGACCCTTTTGCTAGAGACCTTTGAGGGGCTTCCTGGAGCCCTGAGCAGGGCTGGTCCTCAGGTTCAGGTTCAGTGGCAGGTCGTGGTGCCGGCACCCGGATTTGGGGTGTACTTGTTGCTTTGGTGAACATTTGGTGACTGCGCCTCCCTGTGGCAGGACACCAACCACGATTTACATTTCATTAATCGGGTAGCTGATTCCAGCTCTTTGGGTTATTTGCTGAGGTTTCAGTTAGTGACTTTTTTTTCCCCTTTGGGGGCTTTGAGGGGTGTGGCCTGCTTTTTGAGTGTCCCAGTCTGTAGTTAAGGGGGGAGGCTCGGGCAGAAGGCGGGCCTTCTGCTTCACTCCCCATTGAGAGCTGCACATTCACCTGCGGGAGACAGACAGCCCTTGTCCCTCTGCTTCCACCTTCTATCCCTGAGCGTTTTTATTCTAGAAATCTCCTACCCACTGAAATAGACTGGTACACTGAACACCCACAGGTGCGGAGGGAGGGAGGGAGGGAGGGAGGGAGGTTACCCTTCCATTTGAAGCAAGTCCCAAAGACTGTAGCAATTCAGTCAGTAATTATTTTAGCACCTTATTCTCCTCCAGCTCTGACCCCAACCCCCCCCCCCCCCAAAAGTAGAGCTGTGTTCTTTGGGCACCTCCTTGTTTCACTCTTGTCCTTTAAGGAATAGCACATCCCCCTTCAAATTCATAATTTGGATGTGACAGCCAGGATTTCAGGCTGGGCTTCAGAGCCCCTTTATCATCTACTGCACACATGCTCCTACCCTTACTGTGGGGTTACCTCTGGATAAACCCATCACAAATTGAAAATATCATAAGTGGAAAATGCATTGAATACACCTACCGAGCGCCATAGCTTAGCCTAGCCTACCTTGAACGTGCTCAGAACACTTGCATTAACCCACAGTTGGGCATCAGTTGTTCACCCTCGTGATGGCATGGCTGTCTGGGAGCCACGGCTCGCTACCACTGTTGAGTATCACAAGAGAAGATCGTACTGCATATCAATAGACCAGGAGGAGATCAAAATTCAAAGTATGGTTTCTGCTGAATGTGTATCGCTTTCATGCCATCATAAAGTAAAAAACAATTGTTAAGTCAAATCATCATAAGTTGGGGACTCTCTGCACTTGTGGTAGCGTTGTGTGCATCCTTATGTATTTATCTATTTATCTACTTAGTGCAAGTTCCCAGCATTTTCTCTACATTATGATTGAAGTAGGCTTTTGTGGACTAAACTCACCCTTCCCACCACTAGGAGTTTTGGAACATTTCCACTCCCCCTCACCCCCTCATAGGGCTGAGGAAAATCAAACAAACAAAACAAGCCAAAATAATATAACGTTTACGTCCTCTTCCTTCCCCATCACCCCATAGATTTTCTGCAGGCTTGAGAATTGGTCTGGTTAAGTGGTAGTTCTGGATAATTAAATGCTTAACCTTCAAGTCTGAAATATTTTTTTTAAATATTTTATTGATTTTTTACAGAGAGGAAGGGAGAGAGATAGAGAGTTAGAAACATTGATGAGAGAGAAACATCGATCAGCTGCCTCCTGCACATCTCCCACTGGGGATGTGCCCGCAACCCAGGTACATGCCCTTGACCGGAATCGAACCCGGGACCCTTCAGTCCGCAGGCCGACGCTCTATCCACTGAGCCAAACCGGTTTCGGCAAGTCTGAAATATTTTGCCTAATCAATACGATGGGAATTTCTTTGTCTTGGTGAAGGGAGCATATTCAATATGCAGACATAGTTCAAGTGATTCTTGAAGCTTCAGGGTGCTGATGGCCACTATTGATGGAACTGAGAGCTGAAAGAGCATGACCCAGAAGAGACACTGGAATTTCCTGTCTTGAAGACCTAATGCCAGTTGGTTTGGGGTAATTTGCCTTCTTCTAAGAACAGCTGAACCCTGTGGCATGTGTGCCAGGCACTGGACTGGGCCCTGTCATACACCAACTTATTTAACTTTCATCCCATTTGCAGATGAAGGAGTAGGGACCCAGAATGGCTAGCAGGATTCGATGAAGGTTGGTTGACTTGTATTCTGCACTGTTAGCCACTGTGCTGGCTGACCTCCTAAGAGCAGATCTCTAGCTGATTTAGATCTCTAGTTAGTTTTGCAACATGAGGTTCTGGACCAAAGCCCAGTGCAGCCTTCTCCCAAATGGCTTCCTGGCCCTGCAGAAGTCTGTGGGCAAAGTGGTGCTGCCTCAGCAGCCCCTCAGGGTTTACATGTGTCCCGGGCTTCACACGAGCATCTTCCCCAGTGCCTGGGTGGATGAAAGCCTTTCTTTTGGTGTGTAATTTTGTGTAACTGGATCTTCAGTTAAAGAGAATGTTACTTTAACAATAATTTTCTGGACTAGATAATACATTTACATGATAACAACATGCAATAAACTAGGACTAAAAGGAAATGTAATTAGCCAGATAAAGGCCATCTATAAACAAATAAGCAGAGCTAACATCATACTTAATGGTGAAAAACTGAAAGCTTTACCCCTAAGGTCAGGAACAAGACAAGGATGTCTGTTCTCACCACTTGTATTCAACATTGCACCAGAGGTTCTAGCCAGGATAGTTAGGCAAGAAAAATGAATGCATCTATTTACATTGTATATTCTTGAAAATGTGTTTCAGAGTTTGTTCCGCATCAGTACTTTTAAAGTACTAGATGGGTGTACAATAATCCTTTATTTTAAATACATGGTGATGAACATTTAAGTCATTTCTGATCTTTGTCTATAGCAGACAATGCTGCATTGACAAAGATCAGAACTGAATATCCTCATAGACAGCCCATTTCATAAAAGCACGGTTATTTATAAGATAGAATAATTGATAGGTCAGAGAGTTTGCATTTTAAAGTATTACCAATATTGCCAAATTTCTGTCCATAAAGAAGTTGTACCATCCTAGCTGGTTTGCTCAGTGGATAGAGCTGTTGGCCTGTGGACTGAAGGGTCCCGGGTTCGATTCTGATCCAGGGCACATGCCTGGGTTGTGGGCTCAATCCCCAGTAGGGGGCGTGCAGGAGGCAGCCGATCAATGATACTCTCTCATCATTGATGTTTCCATCTCTCTCTCTCTCCCTCTCCCTTCCTGCCTGAAATCAATAAAAATATATTTTTTAAAAAAGAAGTTGTACCAATTTGCCTTCCTACCAGCCATGTACCAGCTAGCCTGTTTTCCCACACCTTCACCCATGCAGTGAGTTATCCAACCTTTTGATCTTAACCATCTGATGGTGAACCTCTAAATTTGCCTTTCTCTGTTTGTGAGAGGCTGGAAAGATCATGTAAATTACTAGTGTTCTCTGACACGCTGGAAGCTTTAGAGCAGCGGTTCTCAACCTGTGGGTCGCGACCCCTTTGGCAGTCGAACGACCCTTTCACCTAAGACCATCCTACATATCAGATATTTACATTACGATTCATAACAGTAGCAACATTACAGTTATGAAGTAGCAACGAAAATAATTTTATGTTTGGGTCACAACATGAGGAACTGTATTTAAAGGGCCAGAAGGTTGAGACCACTGCTTTAGAGAGATGTAGAATTCACCAGGGAAAGCAGAATCAGGTCTCCAGGCCGGGGAAGCTGCACAGAAACACGAAAGAGGGTGTGAGTCAGAAGGTGAACTAACATTAGGGTCATTAACCAGAGCCACCTGTTGGGCTCCTCCTTTGTGTGAGAAACTCCCAGGTTCCTAAGAGCTGGTTAGTCAGGAAGACGTCAGGACTCATTAACTATTGAAAGTGCAGTTCTTCCATTGCTCAGGTCTGCACTTGGATTTAGAAGCACATCGAGAGGCTGGGAGAGAGGAGTGGCCTGATGTTACGCCCAAACGAATGCCATGGGCACTGTTCACGCTCACACAAACCAGATCTAGGTGCAAAGAGTGGAAAACCTCTGAAAAATAACCACAGCTTTATTCTGTGCTTTTTCTCAGGAACTGTCTACCTTGACCACGCAGGAGCCACGCTGTTCCCCGAGAGCCAGCTCAGGAGCTTCACTCGTGATCTCCTGGAGAATGTTTACGGTAAAGAAGAACACACCATCGCTGATTCTTGCATTGGGCGCTAGCCAACTACATTCAGTGGAGGGGTCTCTGCTTAATAAATGTTGGGTTAATAGACTGGGACTGAGCCGGGACCCAGAGCTGAATAAGCAGGCAAACACATGTCATTTCTTACAACATGCGTGCTGCCAGGATGGGGTTACTGGCTCAGGGGCATGTTTGTTACTCCCAGAGGAAAGGCACAGGGGCACAAGGTGCTGTATTTGGTGGTAGGATGGCTTCTGGGACTGGCACTGTACACAGAGAGGGACAACAGGGGGAACATGCATGCATTCACTCACTCCATAAATATTTGTCAGCCACTCTGGTGTCGGGGGCATGGTGCAAATGGGCACAAAGTAACCAGTCCCTGCCTTCACGGACTCTGGTCTAGTCAAGGCAAGACCTCAAGTCAGTGACCCCCAAGTAAATGTAAATTACCAACGGTGTGAAGGGCTGTGGACCGAAGGCCTCTGGGCCATGGGGTCTGGATCTGCAGAGTGACAGCAGGTGGGCAGTGTGAGCTGCAGGGAAATTTCCTCAGGAGTGGGCTCGATGCTGGAGGATGAGCAGGAATTCCCTCGGAAGAGTCAGGAGAAGGGCAAAGGGAACAAATGAGCCAGGACCCTGCTGTGGTTTCAGGAACCAGCCCAGGAACTCAGAGGGAGGCATGAATGGAAAGGTAGGTAGGTATCTTATAGGTGCTCTGTAGAGTTTGAACTTTATTCTAGAAACGATGGCCAGTCACTGAAAGCATTGATCAGCAGCACAATGTGATCAGGAGATAACTTTGGAAAGCGATGTTGAAATAACAGTAGTAGCAGGTGTAACCATGGTAATGATAATAACAATAAATGATAATAATAACCTGTACTGAGCACTCATTGTGCTTCAGGTACTGTTCCAAATGCTTCATCTGTATTATCTCTCCATCCTCAGGGCAAGCTCAGGTACAGGTTCTGTTCTCTCCTGCTGTTCAAGGGAGGAAACTGCCTGGGGAGGCAGGTCATTACTCTGAGGCCACATTGTCAGGAAGCGCTGGGGCTGGGGCAGTCAGGGGCAGTCGGGGCAGCTGAGTTTCTAGGCAGCTTGGCTCCCTGGAGTTAATGAACAGAACTGGGCTGGCCACCTGTTGGGAAACTTGTAGAAGAGGTTCTCATATTGGCTGACTTCCAGTTCCAAAGGCTCTTCCTAGATCCTGTCTTGTTTGTTTTACTTGCTTTGTTTGTTTAGCAGGCTGGCCACCTGTTGGGAAACTTGTAGAAGAGGTTCTCGTATTGGCTGACTTCCAGTTCCAGAGGCTCTTCCTAGATCCTGTCTTGTTTGTTTGACTTGCTTTGTTTGTTTAGCAGGTTTAAAAAAAAATTTTTTTTTATTGATTTCAGAGAGGAAGGGAAAGGAAGAGAGAGAGAGAAACATCAATGATGAGAGAGAATCATTGATTGCCTGCCTCCTGCACGCCTCACGATGGGGATCTAGCCCACAACTTGGGCATGTGCCCTGACCGAGAATTGAACTATGACCTCCTAGTTCATAGGTCTATGCTCATCCACTGAGCCATGCCGACTGGGCAAGATTTCTTGAGTTATATTTTATATCCATAAAATTCACATATTTCAAGTGTACAATTCAATGATTTTTAGTCTCACTATAAATCATTTAGAATATTTTCATTCCCCCAATAAAATTTCTGATGCCCATTCACAGTTGATCTCTGTTGCTCCCCAACCCCCTCAACCTGCCCGCCTCTGTCCCCTCACTCTTACCCCAAGCCACCACTGATCTACTACTTCTGTATCTCTATACAGTTATAAATCATTTAGAATATTTTCATTCCCCCAATAAAATCTCTGATGCCCATTCACAATTGATCTCTGTTGCTCCCCCACCCCCTCAACCTGCCCGCCTCTGTCCCCTCACTCTCACCCCAAGCCACCACTGATCTACTACTTTCTGTATCTCTATACAGTCGCCTTTGCTGGACATCTATATATATAAAAGGTTATGCTCCCCCACCCCCTCAACCTGCCCGCCTCTGTCCCCTCACTCTTACCCCAAGCCACCACTGATCTACTACTTCTGTATCTCTATACAGTTGCCTTTGCTGGACATCTATATATATAAAAGGTTAATTTGCAAAGTGTCCCCTCAGGAGTTTGATTAGGAGACCGAAAGTTCGATCACTTGCTATGACCTGTGCTGACCACCAGGGGGCTGCGCAGAATGAAGGAAGGCCTTAGCTGGCAACTGGAAAGCCCCAATTGGCCCTGATTGCCGGCCAGGCATAGGACATCTATATATATAAAAGGTTAATTTGCAAAGTGTGTCCCTTCAGGAGTTTGATTAGGAGACCCGGAGTTCGATCACTTGCTATGATGTGTGCTGACCATGAGGGTGGCGCAGAATGAAGAAAGGCCTCAGCCAGCAGCGGGGGAAGGAAGGCCCTACCTAGCTGGCAGCTGGAAGGCCCCAATTGGCCCTGATTGCCGGCCAGGCATAGGGACCCTACCCGTGCATGAATTTTGTGCACCAGGCCTTTAGTTTTATATAAGTGGATCATGCAATATGTGATCTCTGTGTCTGATGTCTTTTTTTAAAAAAAAATCTTTATTGTTGAAAGTCTTACATATGTCCCTTTCTTTTCCTCCATTGACCCCTTGTAGCCCACCCCCACTTAGCATGCTTTTGAGGTTCATGCATGACATAGTCAGTAGTTTTTTCCTCTTTATTGCCAAATAATTTTTCATTGTATGGATATGTTACATTTTATCTATCTGTTCACCAATTGATTGACATTTATGTTCCCAGAATTTAGCTTTACAAATAGAGCTGCTATGAACATTCTTGTGCATGAATCTTTGTGTGGACATGTTTCCATTTCTATTGAGTATATAGGAGTGGAATCATATAATAGTTTTATGCTTAACTTTTTGAGAAACCACAGGAGAGAGTTTTGGATGAACAGAAAAGGAGAGACCATAAGTAGTGAGTGACTGATGGCTTTGTCTTTGTAACCTTCCAGGTAACCCTCACAGCCAGAACATCAGCAGCAAGCTCACCCAGGACACCGTGGAGCAGGTGCGCTACAGGTGAGCGGCGGGGCGCCCTCCGGAGCAGGCTCTCCTAGTGTATGGACATGCTTCCTACACCTGCCCACATCCCAGGCTCTGAATTGGTTTCAGGAAGGTCACATTCAGTTAAATGGCCACACACACAATGATAAAGATCAGGGTCCGAGGTTGGGAAGGTGAGAGTGAGCAGGGGCCAATGGGGGCCGACCAGAAGCACAGGGAGGCAGCTGAGGTGTGCACCGCTGTGTGTGTGTGGCTCTGGGCTGCTGCCCTAGTTCCTGGGGACCAGAGTGATAAGGAGTGACACAGGTCCTAAGTCTTGTTTCTAGAGAGAATAAAAATAGTTTCTCTGGTTTTCCTTTTCATGTTTCATTAGGCATCTTGTTTTATTCATCCCCCTTTTTACTAATATTTGCACATGAAACAGCTCTATATTTTTCCACATGTAGTAACTAGCGTTCGGTAAATAATTTCCAAGTGGTACCTAAAATTACTTGAATTGATACAATTTCAAATTATTTCCAATTTGAACAGGATACTGGGTTGCCAATATTAAAAAGCAACGTGAAACAAGCTGGGGACTTAAAACTGATGATGGAGCCAGAGTAGACCAAGGGGAGGGGGGAGGTGTTTTCAACTAAGGCGAAGGCAGCTGTGGGTTCTCAGCTCCTCCGTGGGGGCGGGGACTTGGGAGGCCAGGTGATTTTGCCAGTTTAATCCGTTGGTCATCTCCTCCCACACCTGCTCTGACTTCACGGTCATGGCAGAGCCTCTCTGAGTTTGCTTCTAGCTATTCAGGCAGAGAGGTGCATGTGTAGCGGGAATGCAGCTCATTGCAAACACTGAGCGCCGAGTGAGCCCAGCCGCCGGATGCTGTGTTTTCCAGGGTCCTGGCGCACTTCCACGCCTCCCCAGAGGACTACAGCGTGATTTTCACCGCCGGGAGCACGGCTGCCCTTAAACTGGTGGCGGAAGCCTTCCCGTGGGTGTCCCGGGGCCCCGGGAGCAGCGGGAGCCTGTTCTGTTACCTCACCGACAGCCACACCTCCGTGGTGGGCATGCGGGTGGTCGCCACAGCCAGGAATGTCACTTCCATCCCGGTCAGGCCCGAGGACATGTGGTCGGCGGAGAAACGGGGTACTACCGCCAGCGACCCCGACTGCCAGCTTCCGCATCTCTTCTGTTATCCGGCTCAGAGTAACTTCTCTGGCACCAGGTACCCTCTGTCCTGGATAGGAGAGGTCACGTCGGGGCGCATGTGCCCGGTGAGCGCGCCCGCACCCGGGCGGTGGTTCGTGTTGCTGGACGCAGCCTCCTACGCCAGCACCTCCCCTTTGGACCTGTCGGTGCACCAGGCGGATTTCGTCTCCCTCTCCTTCTACAAGATCTTCGGCTTCCCCACCGGCCTGGGGGCGCTGCTGGTGCATAATCGGATGGCTCCCCTGCTGAGGAAAACCTACTTTGGAGGAGGCACGGCTGCTGCATACCTGGCGGGAGAAGACTTCTACATCCCCAGGCCGTCGGTGGCAGAAAGGTCACCTCGCGTGGGAGTGGCTGGGCAGAGTCCAGCAAGTCTGGGGGCTGGCTGTGCAGCCTGTAGGGTTGTGCAGGGGGGTCGGGGGGGCTGGGCCACTGGGGTCAGGGTTGGCGGTTCCTGGCAGGGACGGAGGCTGGCGGCAGGCTCAGATGTGGGAGGCAGAGGCCACGGCTCAGTGAACTCAGCTCCTGTTTTGCGGGGCCCCTTTAGCGGTGGGAGCACAAGGGCTGCGGGTGAGGGCTGCACGCAGAAGAGGTGAGAGGACCTCACTGCAGAAGGAGGGGGGGGCCCCAGGCCTTTGCACAGAGTGCTGGTGAGGAGTGTCCATGAAAGCAGCGATTTGGACGGTTTTGAACAAGCGTGCACACAGGTTGACAGCATAGCTGGCTTTTAGCAGCTAGATTAGAATCAGCTCAGCTTGGCCCTGGTTAATAGGAGGAATCAATTAAACGAGAGGCTACCAGGCTTGTGGGCACTGTGAACAGCTGCCTCTGTGAGCCCCGCTGTGCGGTACAAAGGACAGTGGAGGGCAGGCAGCTACTTGGCATCCAGCGGCACAGGCCTCTGCTGGGGTTTTCCCAGGTGGCAGGGCAGGCGACTGGCTAATGCTCAGGAATTTCCCAGATGTGAGAGGCCGAAACTGGTAGCTGGGAACTCAGGGTTCCGCTGGTTCCAACAGGAGGGGGTGCCGCGGGGTTGGGGCAGGTTGGGTCACCTGCTGGTGTCTGAGAAGGCCTGGGGCCTGGATGGGAAGGGGGTCAGATCCCCCACAGACCCAGGTGCAGACTCCAGGGTCCTGCAGAGAGGGCGGGTGGCTTTGGCAGTAGAGTTGTTGGTCATGTGTCTAGGCCCCAGAGCTGGTTTCGCTGGGGAGTGAGTCCCGACTCCAACACACCCCAGCCATGGGGGCAGGGGCATGTGGCTTGATTTGGTCATGTGTCTAGGCCCCAGAGCTGGTTTCGCTGGAGAGTGAGTCCCGACTCCAACACACCCCAGCCGTGGGGGCAGGGGCATGTGGCTTGATCTCTGCACCTCCTGTTTTTCCCATAAAGTGGGTCTCTAGCCTTGGCCGGTGTGGCTCAGTTGGTTCAGTGTCATCCCATACACCGAAAGGTTGCAGGTTCAATTCCTGGTCAGGGCACATACCTAGGTTGTGGGTTTGATCCCCGGTTGGGGCACATATGGGAAGGCACTAATTGCTGTTTCTCTCTCACACTGATTTTTCTCTCTTTCTCTCTCTTCCCCTCTCTCTCAAATCAACAAGCATGTCCTCGGGTGAGGATTAAAAATTAAAAAAAGTGGCTCTCTAAAAGGATACAGTATTTTAGCGCTAATAGGTGAAGCACCAAGATGGAGTTGGCATCAATACATTGTGAGGCTATTTTATGTCTCTTTTATTTAGAACATCCCATAGGTGGGGGACTCTAAAACAGAAACACTACTGTAAAACCTTTTGAATACAAGTGTGATAAGTTAATGTGTAACATAATTAAGTGAGAAAAGAAAGACAGGCACAACATATAAATTAAAGGCAGAACAACATGACAACCCAAACTTTATTGAACCAATAGGGCATGTGAAGGCAGAGAGAAGTGGGCAGCTCGTTCCAGGCAGGTGTGGGTGGGCTGGCCCGGCCCAGACCACTGTCCTTCCATTTGGGTGGGTTGTCTTACGGCAGCTGCCACACCGAGACGCCCAGCAAGCTGAATTTTTTTCTTGTGAACTTAGGACTAGAACTCAAGAAATTTAATACACAACCTACATGTTTCTTGAACATGTTACCTAGACCATGTTGTTCATCTTTTCTCTTTGATAACTTAATCTTTGATGAAAACAAGCAACCCCCTTAACCCCCTAAGAGCCTATTAATTATTGATTAATAAATAGTTATTTATTATTGCTCAATTAATAACAAGTCATTATTGGCAAATAATGTTAAATTTATTAAAGATTAATTATGTACCAAATTCATTAGTGGTTAATCAACTAGTAGTTTATTATTGATCCACTAATTCTGTATGTCCATTAATTACCATTCATTTTATAAGGAAACTAATATTGCAGCAACAATATTTTGAGCAAACCTTATCCGTACAGGGTTAAAATACAGAACACAATAGTCTCACTGAAAGCTTCAACTTGCACCAGGCTGCCGTTTGCCACCACCCGTCATCCCGATGCTTGCGGACCTCCCAGTGTCTCCCAGCTGTCCCATCGCTTCTGCAGCAGCCAGAGGTGTCTTGTCAAAGTCTAGGCCCCATCCTGTCACTCCTCTCTGCTCAGGGTCCTCAAGCCCCTTCTAGCTCATCCAGGGTGGAAGTCCTCTGACTGTATCTCCTACTACCCCCGCCTTGCCCGCTCCC